AGCGCTATAAAAATCTGATGCATTATTATTATTATTCAGGAGTTTCAAATCATGAGAACGAGTCATTTGTCTGATATTTCACTTTATGTAGAGTTTGCCAAACAGAAATGTGTTAATTGTCAAAATACTGAAAGATTATAGGCCAGTTATACCAATTTACATCATGTGCACACAAACACACATACAATACAATACAGTATGATACAATGAGAGGGAGAAAAGCAAAAGTTTAGCTGAATTTGATCAGTTGTTAAAGTGCTGTACATTGGGCCTATGCGTGTTTATACTTGTGTAGTGGAGGTGGAAATGAACCATCTTCTAAAATGCAGAAAGAATCAATTCAAATCTGCATCTGACATTTCTAAGCCAGTGGTGCATGAGTGTTTCGATATATAAAGAAGAACTCAAGGTCCACTTGATACCTTCGCTTTATGGCCTCAGAAGGAGATTATTCTTCTGTGTGCCAGTGACAATGGATGTAGTAGACCGCTGGATTCATGAAAAATAACAATACTTTTTCCACTTCAGATTTTCCTTTTCATGGAGAACAATTCCACTTCACTCCTACACAACGTCAAACTTCCATCTTGCCTCTCAGGTGAATTATTCTTGAAAGAAAACGTGATGTTGAGAGTCTTGTTTGTTGATTTCATCACTGAGTAACTTCACTATTTTCCACAGTGATCCCAGTCGGAGGCTCGCAACACACATTTTGCCACCTACAAGCTTCAACGTTGTTTGTTATTCCAGAGGTTGCTGTAATTGCTGCTCACTCAGGCGAACCTCTGACTCTCTGAGCCACCTTGACAGAGGGAGTTCTGCTTTAATACCATGTACTATCACATAAGATGTTTATTTCGTCTTCTGGCCCCCTGGGGAGGTGAGCCAAGCGGGTGCACCTCTCAAGTTGTACCTCCCTCACTTCTGAAGCCTCCCCCTTTTCTACACCTTTTCCAATTTCACTGATGGGGGCAGCTGTTTATATTTAACCATCAGGTATGGATTGGTTGGGGTTAGAGGATTTAGAAGTCATGCAGAAGGGGCTAAGGGAGTTCAAGGGGTTGCAAAGCGTAGAGTAAGCAGAGCTGGTATGGCTGCCGGTGACATGAATATTTAGAAACGTGTCTGTGAGCATCCACTTGTGAAAGGCACTGGTGGGTGAATCTGTATCTTAATGAAGGGGCTTTTCCTGTGAAACAGAGCGAGGCGGGTGCTCGAGAAATTCTATGGGAATGGAGGGCCCGGCTCTTTGGATGAGCTGTGAGTTTAGCTATGATTTAAGAAGAGGGGGTTGGATTTTTCAGTGAGCGGGACCTTGAAAGATTGAAAGAAAGTAGATTAGAAAATCATGAACTCTATTATGCTCCTCCTTTAAACTCATCATGAGTCTTTGATTCAATCAATGAAATGACATCTGCTTTCCTATTCATAGTGCTTCTTTCCAACAGCAGCTACACCCAGGAACAACCCAATCTACATCTGAAAACTGCAAAATCTCTGGATACATTCCCACATTTGCAAGAGATTTGATTTAAATACCATGTACACTATTGCTTCTATTTTGTGTGCTATATTGCAATAACTCTGCAAATATCACACCCTTGAGAATCTCATAAGATTAGTTTTTGTAGACGGTGTATGCGATGTACAGTGCTTTAAGGATTTGACTTAAAGCTGTGGTTGTTTATCTGTTTCTTGGATTCTGTAAAGAAAGGGATCTGGATGGTTTGGATTAGGGCAACCTGAGTTGGAAAGTCAGAAACAAATATGCAATTAACTTACTGTGATAAAACTCGCATTATAGGATCTGTTACTCTTCTGCAAGAGTTGTTCTGACCTAGTTTCTTCACCATCTCAGACATCCATTTTTCAGCTGCTGGATTATAGCATCAGAAAAATGTGCACTGTTCTAGTACTTTTGTTTCAAGACATGTTCCAACACTGACAATCATCAATAATCAACATGTATTAACACAGAAGACAGAACAGCCAGAAAGTATGAAATAACATATCATCACAGCTAAATATTTCCCCTCATTTCATCTCAACAAAACAGAATTGCAAATATTTCCCTTGGCTTTTATTTCTGTTGTGTGTTTTTTTTTTAGAGTGGGTGAGTGCATGGAAGATCAATACCTGCTTTCAGCTGCCGTTCATTATTTATTTTGATTTTTCAGAGGATGCTACACTTCATATTATTAAAAAGACAGTAAGAGAACCCACTCAATTTGCAATGATAGATTAGATTTTTTTTCAGTGTCAGAAATCAGTTTAACAATGACTTAGTGTTTGTAATGTTGTTCTGGGAAAGCTGAGAGGATGTGTAAAATGTTGATAAATGCAAAATATAAAGGTTTTCATACCGTGAAAAACAATTTTAACAGAGTAAAAAAAACGAATCAGAATCATCTTTACTTGCCAAATATGCGTACTCATGCAAGGAAATTAACTCTGGTGGACTTTGCTCTGTTTGTGCAAAAATTATCATTATTATTATTATTATTATTTTTAATTTGGGATCTCTTTTAGTTTACGCTAATCTCCCAAGAGTCCCTGTTTTAAAACCACACACACACAAACAAATAAGTACATTACAAATACAATGCAATATAATGACAATACAGTACAATTGTAATACATTTTAAAATACATATCAAATCACATTATATCGATTGTAATACATTAAAATACATATTAAATCACATTATATCACACAACTTGCACATTAAAACTGTGGGTGCAATGGTGAGGAGTGGAGAGAAATACTAAGTGATTATATATATATATATATATATACATCTTTGGACTTCAAGCAATTAATTCAGATTTTATTCTCATTATACACAGGGACACAACTTCTTGGAGTTGGATTGCTAGAGCTGTGGTGTTTCAACCTACATGTTGTATCGGTGTTTCCATAGGTTAATTAGGGGGGAAAAAAAGCAGCTCTGAGCAGATATATGACCAAGCTATTCATATATCTAATCAGAGTTGGCATATTGCCCCTCCATCAGCAGGATGCCCTGAAAGCCCTGCATTTGCTTGGTAGCTGCACTGTTCCGTGGAGACCTTTTCTTCATCTGACAACCATAATTTTTCTTGCTTTGCCCTGAGCCAGTTTTCGGCTCATTCATAGAAACTTGTAAATTACAGCATGCAGCCAAGCAAGGGGACCTTAGGATGATCAATAGTAACAGCTGCTCCTGGTGGAGTATCCTGAATTCAACGGTTTAGTGGACATATTTATGATCAGAATGTAGCAGGGTGTCTTTGCATTTTCAAGTACACACAAATCACGGGGAATGCATTAACTGAGCATCAAAGTATTGAAGCTGGGACTAGAATTAAGATTGATAGCACCATTGTGAGGAGCTTACATCTCTTGAAAACTTGACTGACTCTAACTTGGTTTCTGTGCCACTCTTGGCACAGTAGGACATTAAAAATAGTAGGACAAACAGATACATTTTTTCATCTGTTCCATGTTTGCCCTGAACACCATGAAAACCATAATTTCCCAGAAAACAAAATAAATCACAAGCTTCCAGACCCGAGGTTCCCCAGATGATAATCAGTTTTCTCTTTGAAGCTCCCCAGCTTTTTACCTGTTTTTCCCCTTGCATTAGTTAGGTCCCAGTTTGGTCTTGATTCCCCCTTAGAAACATGGAACAAACAGAGTTCATACTAGACATACTAGACAGAGTGACTTATATTTGTGCAAAAACTCTTAAAATGTGAATTTTGTTTACCTCCTGATGGTGGGACATGCTTTGACTGAGCTGACTGTGTGTAAGTAAACACATCCTCCCCTTTATTGAGAATGAGAGGATTAAAATGTCAGACACTTCAGAGAGGCCATTACCATGGAAACAGAAGAACACTCAGCATGCAAACATATGCTGACAAGTGTGCACTGACACAAACATGCTTATGTGCCACACAAGGAAGAGTTTCTCCTGCTGTGATGTGAAGTTAGTCACACTGGGTGACCCACTTCTCTAAGCATGCCAACAATGAACAACTTTGCAATCTCTGAAAGCAGCAGCAAGTGCAATCCTCAGCTACTTTGGTGACTTTTGTTAGTCCAAGTATTCGAATATTTGCTTGATCCACTGTTGAGTTTAAGCTATGACCCATGTAGCATCAGCTCCATAAAGATACAAAAGTATCTGGGATGGTAATTTGTAGATACAGGTAGCTTAATCCTCTCAAACTTGGATTAAAAGGCAACATATTGTGCTGGGAACAAATATGCTACACCCATAGTTGAACATTAGCTACCCTTCTATGAAGCCATGAAGGTTGTGTTTGTACTGTCCACTGTTGAATGTCATACAGCTGCCCAGAGACCAAGTTGGAGCACCAGTGGTTTCCATTGATGTGGCCTCTTTTGCCATCTTTCCTTTCACAACCATGCAAATATTTGCTGGCAGTGGGAGTAAAAATAATTTTGCAGGATTTTCTCACATTTTAAGTCCAAGACTTGCAATTATATTCTGTTAAAATGAAGAAAGAAAAAAAACCCTGCAGAATTTTTCGGCATTCCTAAAAAATTATTCACCTGGACCTCTGGTACGAGATATGTCTGTTCCTCTCCTGGATTTTACTTTGATTCTAAACTGTGTATGGAAACTTTCTATGGTATCCTTTACTAAAAGGCTTTGACATGAGCTTTCGTGTGAGCCCCACTGGAACCATAATATGTATTTTATTTGCTTAAATTTGTGGAGTAATGCAGTGTTGTGCATGTTTTGTGTGTCATTGGAAAATATTGTTTTTTCAAATGAGTCATTACAAGCCCACCCACACAACCCACTGTGTTGGTAAGCTTTAAAACATGAGGCACGACTTGTATTGGGACCAAATGACATTTTTTAACTGAAGGAAACCCGTCTCAGATGATGATAAAAGCCTCTAGCAGGGATTCAGGTGTAAAAAGTGGTGAGTACAACGAGTCTTCTGACGAATACTTCCTTTCGTCTGTTTGTTTGCGGTTGAATTTTAGACACAAGAAGAGGTGGGAGTTGGAGCTCCGGCAGATTGTTAGCTGCACCTGCATGGAGATAAGAACATACTCAAAGGTTTAAGTAAAGCTTAATTGTTGTTCGATTATGTCCCATCCCTTTTGCTTGTCTGTTAAAACATGACCGTTGATATGATTCAGAGGCACTTAAACTTCAACACCACAACACTGCAGTACCAAATATGGTTTAGCACCTGTGGATTCTTCATTTATATGCAAGATTTGTAAGCACAGATTAAAGTAAACAGTAATTAATTCAATTAAACATCTGTGTTTGCACAATGTGAGATTAAATTTATATATTTATTTATTTATTTTTTATCTCAATTCCACAGACTGTCTGCAGCTTGCATCCCTTTCAGCTCCATTCAGTGCAGAGAATATTCAGCACCACGGACAGCGAAGTGGAGCAGGTTCAGCCCAGGTGAACGAGGGGAAACTTGCTCAAGTATAATACTTTAGATATACAATATTCAAGTTTCCCATTAGACATACCTGAATAAAGCTTTATTATAGTGAAACCATAAGCTTTAATTAACTCTCTCTGCTGGGGTGATGTAAAACTTACCATGCCTCCTGAGATGGACTCTGGGACATCCTTAAAGGTGATGATAGGAGCTTTGTGTGGCATGAGTAACCAAGACCTCACTTGTAAAGTGCTTTTCTTTTCCTTTAATACCCTAAAGTGTCCTAATACAGCTCACTGCTTTCACGGAGCAGCAGGATTACTTGAGTATGCTGGATTGGCGCTCACTCACTTTGTTTTATCTCTCTCTCTTTTGTGTTTTGTTTGAGCTGTGAGCAGCTAAATGTAATTATTTTCATTTTATGTTCCCTAATTGTTCATTTTGCAAAACACAGTCCAGAGATAGATTTTGTATTTTTACTTGTACATTTATTTCAAGCAAAATGTTATTAAAAAAACAAAATACAAAAAGACTTGTGTGGCAAGACAGAGGAGGCTGATGAGAGGGATTTTTATTACTGTCACAGAGGACTGTTGGTGTCCTTCGCAGGGATTTAACTGTAGTTCAGATTTATTTATCTAAGTTGAAATATGAAGTTGTAAATATCAGCTCTACTGGCTTACTAAAGGTATTGTGGTGTGTTTCATTTCTTATCAAGCTTTCCTGAGAGAAGAAATGAAGACTTCAAAGATAGATTTGCTTAACAGGGGGTGAGTTGGTCTTTTTTTTCACAAACAGCATAGGTTAAGACCTGATTAACAATGAGATGATCTTTTAATACAGATTATGTAAACCAGATTAAAAGATCTATGAATAGTCAACAAGACATATTAGCTTCTTTAGCATCTGCACTACTTTGACATGTTAATCTCACTGATGGGACAAACTTGTCTTGGCGATACCGGCTGGTTTGTTAAAGACCCATTCTGATGAGAAAATCATGTTTTTCTTGTTGTCTACATGTTCATATGGCATTTTTCTGATGCTACAGGACATATCATGAGTAAAGTAAGTGCAAAATTGCAGACCCAAACAGCAGGCTCAGACACAGTGAGATTTCCTACATAGCAAATCCAACAATATGGGTTAAAATGGAACTTTCATAAAGCAAATGGTCATAAAATTAAATCTGATATAAACAGACTACGTTTATACAGCTCTTTCTCTAGTCCTTTGACGACTCAAAGTGCTTCACATTACATGCCACATTCATCCATTCACACCACATTCACACACTGATGCCAGAGGCTGCCATGTAGAGAGCCCATCAGTTTTTGACAAATCCCATTCACACACCACTGAGTGCAGCCAGTGACGGCATGTGAGGTCAAGTATCTTGCCCAGGGACACTTCGACATGTGGATAGCCCTGGGATTGAATCCCCGACCTTCTGATTGAGAGACGACCAACTTTAGTGGCAAAATAACTCTATCACTGCTGCAGAGAACACTTTAACACACGTGTAAAACCACAAAGACAAAGAACAAGGATACGCAGCAAGAGCTCAGGAAGAAACAAAAGGGCCAACTGTGAAAAAAGAAACAACAGAGCACAAAGATTTTTTCACCGTGAAAGAGCTGAGACAAGGCTGAGTCAACACGATATCAGACGGAGAAAGGAATGACATTTTCACTGTTGTTTTATGACAGAACCGACATGATCGCTCTGTCGACACACTGACTCACATTATGTCTTATTTTGTACCTATGTTGTGGTTAAGACAAGATAGGTTGCATGTTTTTCACTGAGCGTGTGTGTGAGAGAGATATCTATATAGGTCAAACACTCTGTAAGTATCCTTCGTATATAATCAGAGTCCTATTTTGTTTTAGTTTTTAATAATTTAGACAACATTAAAAAGACTGTGGAGCTGTGTACAGTATATTTAATAGCTCAAAGGCTTAGAAAACTCATAAAAGTTTAACACAAAGTATCTGTGTGTATTTTTGGTTGGTTACAGGCTTTTCTTATGTTAATAATGCACATTGCTTTATTAATCAGATGTACTATCTTTGATTTTAAAGATACACTTTGCATATTTTATAATGTTTGGAGCGTATCATATGTTTTCAGTATAATGAAGGTAGTGTTTATGCTTTTGTTTGTTTTTTTATGTGTTAGAGAACTTCTTTACTTCACATGTGCTCATGTAATGAGAACCCTTGCTCTCATTTTCGAGTTACACAGTACATCATTACACTTTTTTACCCTCACCACACTTTTTATTGACTTTTTTACTGCTTAACAAAAATAAGATAAGTCGCTGTGGATTAATTCTCTGTGGTGCATGGCAGGATTGATATTTATGCCTTAATTACACCATCAAAACTCATTAAAATTCTGCTCTCTACCGCAAGTAATGAGAGGTGTGGCTCCCAAAAAATGCATTATTGACAAGAGAGGGAACAAATTGACCCATAAATCAGCTTCTGTGGGGGCTGCTGCCGTGTCTACCCGCAGGGCAAACAATAAGAATCAACACAAAAGGTACAGCAAACACCGACACATGTATTCATGTCATGTTCATCATCTTGTTATTCGATTTATGACAGTGAGCAACAACATGAGGAAAAGAAAGAGAACAAAGTGAGAGATGACAAGTTAAGGGGAGAGAGCAGCTCTTTGGAGACAAGGTCGTATGAGGTACTTATCAAGATTAAGTATGATTGTGTTTCTCTAAAGACTTTTTTTAGACACAAGTAGATGAGAAAACTTCAATGGATGAAACGATAATGGCTGTAGACAGCTGGGGCTAGCTCCACTAAACGTTAACATCAACACTTCATGAAAACACTGAGACAACACCACGTCACACAGATTATGTAAAACTTTCACCAGAAGTCAAACTAGACTCTTGCCTGGAGAACACTACTGTATCCAGAGGTTAGGAAAATGAATATTTGATAAATTAATAAATAAAGTATGAGCATGCCAGGCTGCCAGAGAATATTTTATTTTAGATGGTTGTAACACTTATCATATAATTTTATCGGTAAAAAAAAATAAATAAAAGAAAGAAACTTTAAATCACTTATCAGCAAACTTATTCAAGAACATACCGAAAAATAAAAAGCATCAACAAGCTGATTTAAGAGAGTAAATAGAATCACAACCTGAATGTTTTTCATTATTTCAAAAGTGTATCTTAAAGAATGAAACGTAAGAGTCACAAAAAGTTTTAACTTTGTGACATGCAATCTTTAAAGTCACTTAAAAAGTTGTAGCAGTAGCTTCACCATAAATACAGTGAGTGCTAAAGTGCTGAATTGAGAACAGCAGAAAGTTTGCTAAAGACAACCCAAAGCTGACGCAATCAATGACAAAATCACTGAATTTACACTTGATAGCCCACTTTTTCCCAAAGTATTAGACCAGTGATTTTATCAGTTATGGTATGTGATGGTGTACATGCAGAGGTTTCCCATACCTGACCAAATTTCTCATTATTTTTTTCATGAGGTCCAAAATTCCTGGCAGCACCCCTGCTTCTTCCTAGAGATGTACTGACAGACTGCATTACATAACCCATCGATATTATCAGTTATTGGTATAGGCAACAAAGAGAATCTACATCTCTAAAGAAATGTTCTCCCAAAGTTAAAGGCTGGCAGTCACTGAGGTTTCCAATCTAATGTTTTCTCTCTCTTCTTTGGTAGAGTGTCTTGAAGTGTTTACATTTCTCATCATCTTGTCCACATAGTTACGCCTCCTTGCCATAACTCCTGCTGGATTCTCCTGATAGCATGTGTGCTGACTGTTATCTTTAGGATACAGTGCTTTTGTTAAATACTTAATGTAATGCTACTTTAAAAATAAATGTATCCCTTCATGATTCTGCTTTCTGCTTTAGTCCCATCGGTGTTTTCTCCCTGTTTGAACCATTATTCATAAGTCAAATACAGTGGGTCTCATCATCAGGGCTAGATTTGTTTTCTCAAAGTTATGTGTCAAATAAAAAGTGGAAATATAGTCTTGGTTTAGTTGTTGCTGTTTAAACTAGGCTCAGGGTTGGCTGATTGTTTAACGGTTACAGTTTTTACACTGTTTGCCCACTAATTACAGTTTTTTTGTGCTTTTATCACTAGAACTACAACAGCAGCAGTTTGTACTCTCATGAGGTAAACAAAAATAAAACATATTTTGTATTATCATATGAGGTTCAAAGTGCCAATGCAATGCTAATTGGTTAGGTATTTTTCAAACATACGGCATTTGTTTTTACTCATAGTCCCTATACTGTTTGAAATACATGAAGCAGGGAAACTTAGCTCCTCCCTCCGTCTTCTGAGGCCCTGAGCAGATGCTACTTCTATCGCCTGTGGGTCCAGACAGAGCCTGGGGACGCTGCAAGCAAGATCCTTCAAACTCTTATATTTTTCTTTTCCCTTTACTCCTACTTCTTTCCTATTTCCTCCAGCTGATTTCAGCCCATGAGGACTGAGTGGAATCATATCCTCATTATTTGCTTGTCTTTACTCACAGCAACACACACCAATTCACACAAGTGATTATTTCAAACAGACTGCTGGGAAAGGAAAAAAATGAAGAAAGAGGACAAGATGAAAAAAGTGGAGATGGTTTTCACATGTGTTACATCTGTGCCTCACCAGAATTGTCATAGAAGAGGCCAGAGAGTGTTCAAGTAATGGGCTGACTACTTCCACAAAGCAATGTCAAAACCTGGACACAGTCAAATGTTCATCTTTTGTTAAAAAAAAAACATTGATCAGGGTTTTGCAGTAGTTTAAAGGTGGTTGTCACAGGGTTCCCTCTCAAAAAAATCACAGTAAAGTGAAAAACAAAGGAGTAGTCAGAAAATGTATTGATGGTGGCATTTATTCACAGCCGGTCAGTGCAAAATGTTGACAAAATATGCTAAATCATCAAAAATTCTATTTACAAAATGGACCACACTAAAAAAAGGTGCACCCTAAGTTACGCTATACAACAGAGAAGGGAGAAGAAAGTGTATGTGTGTGTCCATGTGCTGCCCACTCCGTCACAGTGATGATGTACCAGACTGTCAAATTGTTATAATGTGTGTCTTATTTCATTCTGACATAAATTTACAGGTGTAGACCTGTGATTGTAGTTTCTTTGCCGAGGTCTGCATGGACTGATGCTCAGACCTTCATCGGGTCGTTAAAGGTTACTGCCCATCTAACTGGTGCGCTCTGTGAAATAAATATCAGAAACAAACTAGAGACTTGAACCCCAGTTTTCCCTGTCTTCTGTTGCCTCTGTCCCAACTTACATTTCTTTATAGTGTATTCAATCGATCATCGGCAGAAAGGGATTTTGAAACCTTTGTTTTCTGGTTTTATTCCTGTTTACACCATGTCCCAACTTCATTGGAATCATTAGGGTTTATACCCACAGAGAACCCATGCATGCACAGCAGAACAAGCTAACTGATCCGCACAGAAAGGCCCCTGCACGATATTTGTGATTCCAAACCAGGAACCCTCCTTCCTGTGAGGCACCAGCACTAA